CACATCCGTCCCAACCTATTTTGCACAAGACGTCTTACGCAAGAAACTTAAGGAGCTGTACGACGAAACCAGAGTTTGTTCAGAATTGAACACCTCATGGGGCTGTTCGAATTTTGCCAAAAGACTTACTTCACTTTTGCGGGAGAAACATGAGCACATCAAGGGAACTCCGATGGGCTTCCCAATCTCCGTTTTAGTAGCAAAATTTGTCCTAGAAGAGCTGGAAAAGATTGTCTTCACCCAATAGCCCCCGATCTTTTGGCGCCGTTACATTGACAAAATGTCAAAGGGAATATGTTGGAGAATTTCCATCATCTTAATTCGATCTTCCCAGATATAAAATTCACATGGGAGGGAGAAGAAGAGGATCAGCAGCTATCCTTCCGTAACGTGCTCGTCATGGTAATTTACAACGGCGAAATAGAAACAACGGTTTACAGAAAGGTGACGAACGACACACAATTTTTCACCCTCCGGTGGCTCATAAACGAAGTTGCGTAAAACACTGTTCAAAGGAATCCGGTCTCACTGCAGTAATTCGGAATAAAAAGCACGCGAGGACCGATATCTCCGCGACCAGTTTATAGAGAATGGCTGTGCGAAGGCCTTCCTAAGCCGATGCTTATATGATCGCCCTCCGAGGACTCAACCAGAACTAGCCCATACGATATGGCATGCGCTACCATCTATCAAGAATGTGTCAGAAGTGACCGAGCCTATTGCTCCGGGACTGGGCGTCGCAACTGAACATCGTCTTAAGGCTGTTATACGCAGCCTAAGGGATAAAAACCATGGACCGATTAAATTCTAGTGAGAAATTGGATGTAGCGTCTCGCATACCGTGCCTAAACTGTCCTCTAAATTACACAGGACAGAATGGACGCATGCTCTGTTCGCGCATACACGAACATAAACTGGTTGTAAGACGGGGTGATGCATTATCACAAGTGGCTGTCCACACCTATGAGACTGATCACGAGTTTAACTTCTCAGCCACGACAATAATCGCGTACGTCGGCAACAAGACAGGACGAGGACTAGTTGAGCCCTGGGCCTCGGATGACTATTAAATTAATCGATTTGTCGATCTGACGCCGGCATACATCGCTCTGCGTTGGCATCTTTGGACTGGTGGTTGGTGGACCCCTGCCTCCTCTAATTGTTGCTTGTTTTTCGTTAATGCTTTTATCTCTGACGATGGACTCCAATAAGCGTTTGAAAGCTCAGACAAATAAAACCATGATCCCGGTGATTGAAATGCCCTCTTCTTCTCCTCTACCCAAAGGCGTTATAGTTTCATCTGGTGCTTACTTCAGGGGTTTTATCCGTTCAAGGAACTACTTCGCAAAAGCTCGTGTTGTTTGTGAGCTTTCTGCCATCGACCTATTATACCACCTGTTCGCATTTTATGCACTTTTTCGGCCTAACCTATTTCGGTCCCAACTTCTTTGGATCTGTTATGCAGTCTTCTTTGCCTTTTTTAGTATCTACAAACGTTCCAAAGCGAGAATTTGGACATCGTACACACCATGTCTAAGGACGTCCTCGGTGGTCTTATTAAACCTAGGTAAGTCAGAGCTGTTAACCTCAAGGCCGGTTTATTTTCGTATTACACATTTGCCTTTTTCCAACATGGAGACCAAATTTCTGACTCACCAGTACGTATACGTAGTCGCCATCCTAGTTAACAGTCGGCACGTGCACTTTCTTTGTGTAAAGTAGAAAAAGACTACAGCAATTAAGCCATGCAAAGTTGCTCAGTCGTTCTCGGGCGCGTCAGCTACGTAGGCTGATGACTCAGGCGGCGTTGTGATCATGTTAGGGCGTTTCGCTACGTCTGTTCTACAGAAACCTCGAGCGCACATTAGTCTCTCCTCCCACCCTCGACAGGCACGCCGTTAGGAAACGCACATTTACGGCTTTCGAGCGGATCAACCGTGTGCACAGTCAGTCAGCCCTGGGTGAAGTCCGCCACGTTTCATCAACACATTCAGTAGCTACATCTTCAACTCCCCAAGTTAAAACTGGCTGACTCTCATGTGAGACGCACTCAAGCATTTGCGTTGCATTATCATCCTTGCTCGGGGACACGTGCCTAGACTGCCCGTCAGGCTTCAATGTGGAGTAAACATCACGCGTTGGTGTCCTTCCCACTGTCGACCTAAACGGACTTCGGCTCCTTGGTATGCTTATTAAGCTAGTCGTTGCAGTTCCTCCTTGGTTGTTCATTTAGTATCTACTCTGGCCAAAACTGTAGTTTTTTTTCTCGCCGCCCTTCTTATGTTCCTTGGCAACAACATGAAACATTAGGATCCGAACTGTTGGATCACTTTTAGGCACATGGAAAGTACCATCAGTTGTATTCCATGGCAGCTGCCTGTAGGACCTCGTAGCTCCGTTAGAACGTTGGCTGTACTGAAGCCTTTCGACTGCTATTGTGGGTACGAATCCCACGAGGTCGCCGAGTTTTTCACAATTTCGTCAAATGAATTATTAAAATCTCCCAAAGCCCTTATTAATTAGGTATGCCTTGTAGGCATTTGATGGATTCTACAGGGTGCCCCACGAAAAACCCCTAAATTTATGATAATGTTTA